ACTAAACCACCTATCTAGGTGGTTTAAAGGGAAGCGGCGCGGCAACGGGGCGTTTGATCGCCGCCGCTTCCCTGCGCCGGCTCAACCCCGGCCCGGATCCGAACTGCGCATGCCCGGACATGCGCAGTTCGGCCGGCCCCCGAGTAGGGCGTGTGAGACCTAGATCATTCAACAATTTATTTGGCAACAAAAAAGACCCAGAATTAAGTTAAAAGCTCTTCAGGATAGGAAAGAAAGAGGAGGCTTTGCACTACCCGATAGGCTTTTATATTATCAGGCAGCATCTTTGACATGGGTCAGAGAGTGGATTATTTTAGAAAATTCAAGACTTTTGAAAGTAGAGGGATATGATTTATTATTGGGCTGGCATGCCTTTCTATGGTATGATAAGCAAAATATACACACATACTTTAAGCACACAACATACTCTTAGAGCCTCTCTACTAAAAACCTGGGAAGAGATAAAAAGACTATTTTTCATAAAAATACCAAAATGGGTAGCTCCTCTGGAAGCATTTACAAATCCCAATTTAATCACAAACAATTCAATGGGGAGATACAAAGAATTATTAGACGGTAAGAATTATTTAAAAACACAAGCAATGTTGCAGAAACAAGAAGTGACCTTAACATGGTGGGAAAGAATCCAATTGGAATCTAGATATGCCAAAGATAAGCATATGGGATTCTATGAAAAACAGAGTTAGATAAAATACTATTGAATACAAAAGAAAAACTTATTAAAAATTATATGCGGTACTATTAGACTTGAAAATGCAGGATGAAGTAGTTAAAGTGTCAATGATTACTTGGGCACAAAATTCAGGATATAATATTGACCTAGATCAATGGTCCAGAGTGTGGAAAACCAATATAAAATACACTAAAGCTGTTTCTTTTAAAGAAAACCTTTACAAGATGTTTTATAGATGGTACATGACACCTGATAGATTGACTAAATATTATCCTAATGTCAAATCTATGTCAGAAATGTAAGCAAAAAGTTGGATCTTTCTATCATATTTGGTGGACATGTGATAAAAGTAAAAAATATTGGGTTGGGATACATGGAATGTTACAACAAATAATAGGAGTTAATATACCTTTTAAACCAGAAATCTTTTTGTTAAATGTAATACCGGAACAATATAAAAAGTTAGATTTTTATATGATTACTCATATCGTAACCGCGGCCAGAATTCTATATGCCAGTATGTGGAAAAAATTAGATATACCATGAAAGGAAGATATGATCCAGAAATTAATGGAAACAGCCGAAATGGACAAATTAACTACTACTACTACTACAAGGAAGAAGAGATAACATCTTTAAAGACATATGGTCAAGATTTTACAAATGGATTGAGAACTTTATTGAAAACTGATTATAATAAAACAATAAGATTAATTCATTTAATAATTGTTAGGTGCTAAGAAATAGAAGAAATTCTAAATAAGGTGAATGACTGTGGGATGGAAACCTGTCTATGTACCTTGTAATTTGTGGTTTTGTTTGTTCTTTTGGTTAGAAATTTAATAAAAATTACTGCATTTTAAAAAAAGGCTTTTTTTCTCAATTTTTCTGGGGAAACAGGGGAGCCATTATAAACTTTGGGAGGACTTTGTCTAGTTCTAATGTTCAGTAGAGTTTATGTGAAATGCCAAATCGATGCAGTTGTTGGGTGTATGTAATTCAGTGAGTCTTGCCCCTAGGAAAGTATCATTAAGCCTGCAGCAAAGTGTCCTCAAAAGCATGTCTGTTACTTTAAAGGAAATGGCATGCAAGAGGGCTTTAGAAGACCAAAACAGGAAGTTACATCTAAATGTTGATGATGTCATTCCCCTCTACTGAGCATGGGTGGGGAACAGGAAGTATTACTGCCAGAACCAGGTAAGTGGCAAACCTAGCACCACCAGTGTTGTCAGAATTTGGAGTCCCGCTATCAGATGAAGCTCATGCTTTGTCAGGAGAGCCCCAGGAAGAAGGGCCTGGAACCAGTGATCTCTCACTGCTTTACTGGAAAGCATACCAGATCTGGTTAAAGATACGCCCTTCGGACCCAGTTATTATTTGTCAGTCCTTTTTAGACGAAGCTTGCTTTTTAAAAAATCTCCCCGTTAAAGTTCTTGGTACAGTACAGTTGTGGAAACACACCATGGCTGAGGCAGAAGCTGCTAGTGATGGTTGCAAGGTCCTCTGGCAACTGGCAGGAGACTCACCTTGCTGGGAGGAGACCTTACCAGCAACACACAAATGTCGCCAGCAACATGCTGAGGTCATTCCCTGTGTGTCCAGAAGTTATGTTATTGCATTGCCAGGAGACTCTGGGGATGCTATGGAATTTAGGCAGAACTCTATAGCATCCCTGGTGGTGGCATGCCGATGTCAATTCTAAGAGCACAGGGAATGACATCAGCATGCTGCCAGTGACATCAGCTATTACTCCCTGTCACCCTAGCATGTTGGGAAGTTGCCTGACATTTCCTCTAGTTGCCTGCCATTTCCTCCCCACCAACCAGCTGAGCAGTGGAACAAAGTTCCCACTGGCAGTGGAAGATCCCCTGCCACCAGCAGGTGCTTGACAAGTTCCCTGCTAGTCCTGGTGTTTCTTCAGCGCTTGCCTCTAGTTTTAGCAACATAGGTGTGTTATTAATTTATATTGACATTACAGGATATTAAATTTGAGAAATGTCTAAAAGTTGACCAGCCCATTTATCAATTTTTGAGATGTGAAAGTGCACCAAATTATTTACTCTGGAATAAATGAATACAAATTAATATAATACAAAGACATGTCAGAAAATCCCAGTTTTCGCATGCATGGATATTTTGTTAATCCTATTTGTATGTGACATGTCAAAGTGATTTGATAACAACAGTGGTGATTCTATTATAGTTGTGGTTCCAAGCCTGGATTCAGGTCAAAATAGATTAACCAATCTGACCCATATATCAATGCAATTAAAATGGTTAAAGCTTAAACAAAGGAAATTATTTTTTATCTCTCCTTCTGTGCATGCTTCTGTAAGAAATGATTTCAAACCAGTATTACTGATAGTAGTACAGAACCACAGGTTTTTAAAAATCTCCCCGTTAAAGTTCTTGGTACAGTACAGTTGTGGAAACACACCATGGCTGAGGCAGAAGCTGCTAGTGATGGTTGCAAGGTCCTCTGGCAACTGGCAGGAGACTCACCTTGCTGGGAGGAGGCCTTACCAGCAAAACACAAATGTCGCCAGAAACATGCTGAGGTCATTCCCTGTGTGTCCAGAAGTTATGTTAGTGCATTGCCAGGAGACTCTGGGGATGCTATGGAATTTAGGCAGAACTCTATAGCATCCCTGGTGGTGGCATGCCGATGTCAATTCTAAGAGCACAGGGAATGACATCAGCATGCTGCCAGTGACATCAGCTATTACTCCCTGTCACCCTAGCATGTTGGGAAGTTGCCTGACATTTCCTCTAGTTGCCTGCCATTTCCTCCCCACCAACCAGCTGAGCAGTGGAACAAAGTTCCCACTGGCAGTGGAAGATCCCCTGCCACCAGCAGGTGCTTGACAAGTTCCCTGCTAGTTCCTGGTGTTTCTTCAGCGCTTGCCTCTAATTTTAGCAACATAGGTGTGTTATTAATTCATATTGACATTACAGGACATTAAATTTGAGAAATGTCTAAAAGCTGACCAGCCCATTTATCAATTTTTGAGATGTGAAAGTGCACCAAATTATTTACTCTGGAATAAATGAATACAAATTAATATAATACAAAGACATGTCAGAAAATCCCAGTTTTCGCATGCATGGATATTTTGTTAATCCTATTTGTATGTGACATGTCAAAGTGATTTGATAACAACAGTGGTGATTCTATTATAGTTGTGGTTCCAAGCCTGGATTCAGGTCAAAATAGATTAACCAATCTGACCCATATATCAATGCAATTAAAATGGTTAAAGCTTAAACAAAATAAATTATTTTTTATCTATCCTTCTGTGCATGCTTCTGTAAGAAATAATGATTTCAAACCAGTATTACTGATTGTAGTACAGAACCACAAAAACTATCAAAGTTTAAGTAATTGGAAGGAAGCCACATGATCTAATGTATTAATCGAGGAGTGGAGAAGATGCAGTCCTTTGGCTTTTTTTGGAAGAGCCATAGAGCTCCCTCTTTTTAGCAGTCTAGACCATTAACATTTATCAGGCTTTTAGTAGAAAAAGCTTCACCAACTACATTTCTGCTTTGCAGGAAAGAGACCCGAGCACTGCCAGAAAAGTAAGCTGACGACACTGTTGATTCACAGTGAAACTGGGCCCTGTTTGTCATGCTAGATAGTAATACAGATGGCATGCCTGACAGTAATACAATGTTGTTCAAGCCAGGCTGGGAGGAAATATTTTAAATTTTCTTTTCCTTTCTGTGAAATAGGTTTGTTTGTTTTTTCAGAGATGTGTTTTTTTGTTTAACAGTTGCTTGGCACCAACAATTTGTCACCTTAACTTTTCCTTCTCTTGTCACCTAGATCATTCCCATATAAAACATTCAGCAGCCCTTTTGTTTTAAGTAACCACGAGACAATACCTGAGGAAGCAACAAACCCTATGAATAATTGAAGCTGGGTAATAGGTCAGCCCCCTAGTGGGATATAAGGAGCCAGGATTATGGTCAGCTGCCTTGGGTTGCGTTCCCTGCTCCCGATTCTTGTTTGGCAGATCTATTATTAGGATTTCCTAGATCAAGCATGCCTGTATCCAATTCTGACTGCCTTCTTGAAATAAAAAGTCCTAATGTTTTCCAGCTTAAAGCAGCTGTGAAGTTATTGTTAGAATTTCCATGTGCTTAACTGAGCTATTTCTTCTCTGATGAACACGTCAAACGGGTTCTCTTTCTCTGTGTCTCTCTTTTCCCTCTCTTCCTCCTGACTAGTTGTGGGTTGAGAAGAGGGATGTGTCTTCCCTGGGCTTTCCCCCTCCTTCTCTTCACTCACGTCAAGGAAGGGCCAGGCAACAATACCAGTTTAAACTTGCTCAGGTTAGTTGGAGACAAAAAGCTTTCTCTCAGTTTGCATTCTAAGGTTGCAAAGCGGTGTAATGTGACAGAAGAAAAAGCCTGGAGTGAATTCCTGTTCAAACGTTGCTAGGGATAGGAAAATAGAGAGCAGTCGACAGAGCCAGACGAACGAGAGGGCAGTCTTGTCTTCAGATGGTGCTAATGACTGATCAACCACATGAGGGGGAAGAACTAAAACCTGTCAGGGTGATCAGTAAAAAAGAAAACAAAGCTACTTTGACCCAGTAAGTACTCTTGCTTGGCAATATATTGTTAAGTCTGACAAAATCTCTCAACCATATGAAAGAGAAAACTTTAACAAAAAGTTTTTCAGTGATTACTGTGTCTCTTGTCTGCCTTGAGAACTGTGTTTTTCATGCAAACTTGTTTTGTTTCTAATGAGTGTGTAGTGTGAATTAGTGATGATCTTTTTATGTTGGAGCTCTGTGTAGCTGTTTGTGTAGTTCAAAAGGCTACAGCTAGGGTTAGAGAGGGGATAGAGTTTGCATGTGGTTTTAAGCTATAATTAAAATGGGTTACATTATTGTCTGAAGAAGATACAGTAAAATAGGGTTCAACCTAAAACTGAATGTGACACTGGTTTTTGCACGTTTTTAATAGAATGGTATATAAGACTTTCATTGCACACATTGTGGTTATGCCAGACTTGTGGATCCACAGGTTGTTAAACATTCACCTTATGAACATTCAGATTGTGAGCAATAATGATAGTCCATTGCTAGTTTAATCTGAAACCTGCAAGTAAATCAATATCTTGTCATTTGATCATCTCAGCTGTGTGTGTAAACTGACCTATCAAAATGTGCATATTGGACGTGATGCCAAGTGATCTGAAAGCTCTGACTGGTACTTGATCTCTGATTATAGTTTCACCCTTGAAAATCTTTTCTTAATGTTGCTGTTGAGTGACACACAATTCACATGTGAGCTCTTGTTGGCGAACATACATGTATGAACTCTCCTTTCTCCATTTGATCAATCACAGCCTTCATTTGGGCTGCATTTTAGTGGCTTGTTGAGTGTTCTCTGACATATGTGAATCTAAAGTAATAGACATGCCACTGAGTTGGGTTATGTAGCCGTTCATATAAAATCAGGGATTGTCGTTGATGAACATCATGTATGAAACTGATGAAATGGGACATTTGCTTGATTTGAACACCTCTTCTCCCATATTTGATTGAACACTAAACAGGTATTACAGGAAATTCCCATCCAATCATACCTTAGCCGGAAGCAGTTGTTGCCTCTTGTCAGTTCACTGGTAAATTAAATCTTGCATTCTCTGTAGGAGTTCCGTTCAG